AATTTTAATTCCTATTCATAAGAAGGGTAGTCACTCTGATACGAATAATTATAGAGGAGTAACTCTGCTAATAGAATTAAGTAAGATCTATACAAAAGTATTACATAATAGATTAGTATTTTGGTCAGACGCTTATGAAAAACTTGAAGAGTCCCAGGCTGGCTTTAGGACGGGCTATAATACTTTGGATAATATTTTTGTGTTACAGTCTATGGTAAGACGGTAACTTTGCAAAGACGTGATAAAATGTATGCGCTTTTTGTCGATTTCAGAAAAGCGTTTGATTTTGTTGATAGGAAAGGGTTATTTAGGGTTCTTTGCAGAAACGGTTTATCATCTAAGATGGATAGGACTCTATATTCTATTTATAATTGCATTAAAGCTTGCGTTAAAACAGGAGACTATTAATCAGAACAGTTTGATTGTAGTACAGGTGTCCGCCAAGGATGCATATTAAGTCCTTTTTTTGCTTTCGTTTTTAAATAATGAGCTTTCTAAGGATATTGAAGATTCATGTTTCGCCCACATTTGGTACAGTTGTTCCTCTTGATGTTTGCAGATGATGTAATATTAATACCTGACACTGTTGGTGGGCTCCAGATGAGAATAAATGCCTTAGATAAGTATTGTATTCAATATCATTTAACAGTAAATCTAGATAAAACGAAGGTATTCTTTTTTGAAAATGGAGGAATTATGTCTAAGATGGAAAAGGGGTATTTGGGGGTACATAGATTAGAATGTGTGTCGCCCTATACTTATCTTGGTGAAGTTTTTTCTAAGACATTATCTTGGAATAACAATGTTCATAATGCTGCATTACAAGCGAAAAAGATTGTTTGTTTATGTCTTTGTATAATTTAAACCCGTTATCATTTGATGTATTTTTCAGGATTTTCGATTCTATGGTAATGCGTATACTGCTATATGGGTCTGAAGTTTGGGGTTTTGGTAACATAAATGAGATTGAAGCTGTCCATCTAGAAGTATGTAAATGTTTTTTAGGTATAAAAATATATTCTCCAAATCGTGTCGTATATGGGGAATGTGGACGGTACCCCTTAAGTATCCTCATTAAATTCTGGGTACGAATCTTATCTCTGCAAGAAAATAGATATGTAAAGTTAGCATATGATATGTTATTAAAATTAGCAGATGCTGGTAAAGTAAATTGGGTGTCTTAAGTTAAACATCTTATTTATTCTTTAGGTTTCGGGTATATTTGGGAACAGCAGTCTATTAGTAACAGACAAAAGGTCTTTTCAGATTCTAGATTATGATTTTGCTATGAGCATAACTGGCACTCTCATATATGTGAAAGTTATGAAACAAACTTATTTGATCTTTTTAAGCCTAATTTCGGGCAAGAATTGTATCTCAGAAGTATACAAATAAATAAGTTAAGGATAACTATAGCAAGATTTAGATGTGGATCTCATAACCTTAGGATTGAAACTGGTAGTGTCAGAAAGGCTAATTTCTCCACTTAATGTTCCCTTTTAATTGATATTTCCAGAAAATTCCAACCATGAGTACCATTAGATCAACTAACACCAGGACTTCACAACGGCAACGGCGTCTCTCAAGCAGGCTCCAAGATTGCCTCCTGGAGTTTGACCCCTTAGCTGACCACCACAGTGAGTTAGATAGCCATGTACCACAAAGTGTAAAGTCCAGTTCAAGCCAAAAAAGTGGTTTCTCTCAGAATTCACAGCTCTCAGATAAACAACTGTCCTCATTCAACAAAATTAAAACCCAAGCTTATTAAGATAAGAAGAGGAAGAGCAAATTAACTCTGAATTGCAAAACCTTGATGATTTGGCACTGACTGCTCAGAGAAAAGCAGAAGAGGAGATACGAACTGCTCAAATGAAAGCTCAAGAGATAGAAAGAAGGGCTATCCGAGATAGAGAGAAATTCCAGTCAAAGCTTTCACTCCTCAGACAGTTCCGCTCAGCAGAAATTAGTTTACAAGAGGCTACCTCTATTGATGCTGTAATTAACAATTCAGGGGTAGAAAACCCCAGTTCACCTCACCCTTTGAACTGTACTAATTTCTCACCTCTCTTGAACCTTCCTGCATCCTCACCTGCCATGGACCTACCTGTGTCCTCGTCAGTGAACCTACCTATGTCCTCGTTGGTAAATCTACCTCCGTCCTCACCTGCCATGGACCTACCTGTGTCTTCGTCAGTGAACCTACCTGTGTCCTTGTCGGTACATCTACCTCCGTCCTCACCTGCCAAGAACCTACCTCCATCACCTGCCATGAACCTACCTATGCCCCCACCTGTGGTGCATCTACCTGTGCCCTCACCTGCCGTGAACCTACCTCCATCACCTGTCGTACATCTACCTGTGCCCTCACCTGTGGTTCATCTACCTGTGCCCTCACCTGCGGTGCATCTACCTGTGCCCTCACCTGCGGTGCATCTATCTGTGCCCTCAACTGCGGTGCATCTACCTTCGTCCCCACCCGTCGGGAATCTACCTCCGTCTTCAGACGATGTGGGCCCCCCACTCTGGAACTTCTCACAGTTCCCAGGTAACACCATTTTACAAGAACAATCAAGCTTACCAAACATGACAGAATTGCTCATTGCCTCCTCATATGGCGTACATGTATGACAAAGCCCCTTTTACAAAAGCACTCCATTCCTTAAAGGAAAGTATGGGCAAACAAGACAGCTGGTGCAGAGTGAGCTGGCCACATCTGTACACATGCCACCCGTCCGAGTGGGCGACCCAGGGACATTTGAGACTTTTGCCCTGGCCGTACACCGCCTCTTCCGTATGGTGAGATCGCTGGAAGGTGGAGATGGTAGTGAACTGCGATTTGGTTCCCATGTTGAACGTTTGTTGGGAAAACTCCCACCAGCAAATTGAGATAGTTTCATTGAGTATTGTATCCACCGTGGAATTATTGGGACTCACAATGACAGAACCTACAATCTCTACGATTTCTCTGAATGGGTAAAAACCAAGTCACTCGCCAAACGGATAGCCAACCAGGCCTCAACCTCATATGGACCCAACAAAAGCCCATGGTGAGAGAAGAAATTCTGATAACAAAGGCAATAATGCAACTGCTGTCTTCAACGCCGTCCAAGGAAAAAGTTCCAAGAATACTCCTCCTTCCAAATCCACTCATGCCAACAAGCCGCCCCCTCGACACTGTGCCTTCTGCAACAACACTAGTCATCATATTAGTGCCTGTGAGGACTGAAACTCAACACGTGGATCAACACCTCTTCCAGATGTTGGAGGTGTGGTAGGGGCCATACACCCATTGTAACCTGACCCGACCGTGCCATATTTGCAATGAAATCCATCTCACAGTACTTCACGATGCCATCAAGATGAGACCTGAGAAGATGTTCTCAGTAAGAGTATCTCAACCCACCATCACAACCCCAACGTGTTATGTTGAAAGTCGTGCAAGTCTTGCTTCATGGACCGAACGGGTCCCTCGAGACCTTCGCTGTGCTCGATAATGGATCTATAAGAACTATGCTCTTGACATCAGCAGTCAAGAAACTCGGATTGAGGTCCTCACCTGACCAGATTCTCCTCACCAAGATTCATCGTGAACCATTTACATGCAGAGGTAAATCGGTCAACTTGAAAGTATCTCCGAGAGATAATCCTTCTCTACAGTACCCAATTCATGGTGCATTCGCCTCGGCGCAGCTAACCCTCACAGAATACACCTACTCGGTGAAGACTCTGCAGAACGAATATTATCACCTCCAAAGGGTCCGGCTACCTGAAATTGATTCTGCCTGCCCGATGATCCTCATTGGATCTGATCATGCTGACTTGATCCTACCTACAGAACCCGTCCAGTTCAGTCCAAAGAAGATTGGGATGGTCTGTTCAAGGTCCAAGTCTGAACAGCCTTAGTACGTCTCAGTTGAATGACAAGTGTTTCTTTACATCGGTGGAACTATGGGTAATTCTTTGTTGAAGAATGTAGAGAAACTTTGGCAAGTAGATATCTTTCCTTACTCCGAACACAAGGTGACTTGATCAAAACAAGATGAGAGAGCAATAAATGAACTCACTGCCAAGACCATCTTCATAGAAGAAGAACAGCACTACGCAACACCATTGTTGAGAAAAGACACAAATGTAAAGTTCCAGGCCGATCCGAAGAGTGTCGTGTCGAGATTGAGAAGCACAGAGAGGAGACTGGAGAAACAACCTGAATTAGCTGAGATACACTGTCGAGAGATCCAAAGGCTACTCAACGCAGGCTTTGTGAAGAGACTTGAGCATGACGAAGAGATACTGTCTGCCGAATCCTGGTATATACCTCACCACATTGTGCAAAGCAATGGGAAGAACCGGCTGGTTTGCAACTGCTCCTTTGAACATAAGGGACTGAACCTGAACGAAAACCGTCTTCCTGGACCAATCCTTGGATCGACATTACTTGGAGTGTTCCTACGCTTTCGTCTGCTTCCCATTGCAATCTATGGAGACATTCAAGCCATGTTCCACCAGATCAAACTTCTATTAGAAGACCGATCGCTCCTGAGATTCTTGTGGCGAGATATGGACCGAAGCAGAAAGCCAAGCATATATGAACGGCAAGTCCTGCCAATTGGGACAACATGTAGTCCCTGCTGCGCCACATTTGCCCTCCAGAAGCACTTACAAGAGCACCCGAAAAACTGTGAGTAGGTGAGAAGGTCAGTTCACCAAGCATTCTATGTTGACAACTGCCTCGACAGTTGCACCACCACATCAAAAGCTCAGAGGCTTGTTACCAACCTTAGGAGAGTCCTGTCAGAAGGAGGCTTCAATATACGGCAATGGGCTAGCAACTTCCCTGAAGTGGTGTCAGATTTACCCCCGAAGCCAGATCTGACAGCTGTGAACCGTGGATGAACTTTGGCGAAGGTGATACACATGAAGCTACCCTTGGATTGCATTGGATGTGCAATACTGATACGATAGCCTATCGTTACCGACCTATCCATTACGGCACACTAACCATGAAAATTGTGTACAGGATTCTTGCCTCTCAATATTACCCTCTTGGCTATCTCTGCCCATATACCTCACGTGCAAAGATCCTTGTCCAGGAACTATGGAAATCGAACCACAATTGGGACGAACCCATCAAAAAAGAAGAAATCAAATCATCATGGCTCCAGTGGGAGAACGAACTACCATCTCTATCACAAATTACACTACCTAGATGCTACAATCCTGTCGATGTCAACACCTCCACAGTAACCAGAGCACTGCACGTGTTCTGTGACGCCTCTGAGAGGATCTACGGATCTGTTGCCTACCTTAGATCTGAAGACAATGACAGCAATGTGTATGTGTCGTTCGTGGCAGCACGCAGTAGAGTTACCCCTAAGAAGCAGCTGTCTATGCCACGACTTGAGTTATGTGCTGCCCTTAGTGGTGCCCAGCTGGCAGACACCCTACTAAGAGAGCTGAATCTTCCCGTCACTACCCTAACCCTCTGGAGTGACTCCACCACTGTGTTATCTTGGCTACACTCAGACTCCTGCCGATACAAGGTCTTTGTAGGCACCAGAATATTAGAAATACAAACCTTGACAGAAGTCAATCAATGGCACTATGTCAACAGAGCAGAAAACCCTGCCGACGATCTCACTCATGATAAACAACTAACAGAGCTGAGTGACGGTTCAAGATGGAGAGACGGGCCTTCTTTCCTTTCAAACCCATCCGAATACTGGCCAACCAACCTGAGTACTAATCCATCAGTACCAGCAGAGGACCCAACTGTGCTCAAGAAAAGCTCCTACACTACGGAGCTGAACGCATTCTGGCTGAACTGAGACAGCGCTTCTGGATACTGCGAGGTAGAGAGGCGGTGCGTCGCCACCAGCGTCAGTGTAAGAAATACCAACTCTGGAGAGGTAAACCAGTGATCCCCAAAAGATGGCGGACCTGCCGCCAGCAAGATTGAGGTTGTTCAAGCCCCCGTTCTACTCAACCGGAATGGACTGTTTCGGTCCCATGAAGATGAAGATAGGTAGGCTTGGTGAGAAACGATGGGCAATAATATTCAAGTGCATGACTTCTCGAGCTGTGTACCTTGATCTCTTGGACAGTTTAGATGCTGACGATTCCGACGATTCATTTCTCGCAGAGGGAAACCATTTGAAGTTCTTTCTGACTGCGGGACCAACTTCAAAGGCGGTGAGGCGGAATTGAGAGAGTCATTTGAAGCAATGAGTCCAGAAATAACCAAGCAGCTTGCCAGCCACCATGTGAATTTCCGACTCAACCCACCAAGCGCACCACACTTTGGAGGAGTATGGGAGCGTGAAATCAAGTGTGTTAAGAACGAGTTACAGGTTGCCCTGGGAGAACAATTAGTATCTGAACCAGTCCTGAGAAACGTACTCGTCGCAGTAGAAGGGATCATCAACTCCAAACCCCTTGGTTATGTCTCTACAGACATGTCGGACTGTGAACCAATAACTCCAAATATTCTGTTGATGGGTAGACATGATCCTTCACTGCCGCAAGTTGTCTACCCAGCAGACGAAATACTCAGCCGACGGAGATGGCGCCACAGCCAGATCCTTGCCGACCACTTCTGGAAGCACTTCATGAAGTACTACCTGTCAACCAGAAGTGGCAGAAAGACAGGAAAAAGATGAGCAACGGTGAGGTCGTGATGATCATTGAACCCCAACTAGTCCGATCCCTCTGGCCCGTCCGACATATCACTAAGATCAACACTGGAGAGGACCTGTGCGTGGGGTCAGCTGTCGTTCAGGTTGGAGAACGCCAGTACCTGCGGCCAGTGTCAAAGTTGATCAGACTGCCTGAGATGGTGAACTAATTAGCATTTGCCTTGGACTTTTAAGCAAAACCAGCAGCGATCCCCAATTGTGTTAATTGTTCTCAAATTTTATTGTAAAATTTGGGGGTGGTTGTCAGAAAGGCTAATTTCTCCACTTAATGTTCCCTTTTAATTCATATTTTACCCTTTCCATCCGATTCCACGATTCCACTTTTCATGTAAATCCAATCCATTCCTATTCCACTAAATCCCAGTTTCTGTAATTACCGGCAATAAAAGAATGGCTCCCTCCATACATGTGCTTTGTTCTGGTATCAGTTCCCACAGCCTAGCCGCTGTTCCTTGGCTGAATCTGAACCACTAACAGTGTCCAGAACCCCCCAGAAAGCAACTTGCCCTTAAATACAGGTAGATATAATAAAGAGCAGCCTAATAAGAGAATGTGTTAATGTTGTAACAGACAATGTATTGAAAATGAATACCAATTTTTATTAGTGTGTGATTATTACAACGATTTAAGGATTAGATATATAGAAGAAAAGTTTTACAAGTATCCATCTTAACATAAATTTAATATGTTAATGTCATCAGCAAATATTGAAGTTACTAGAAATACCGCTCTGAATATTTACTACAGACACAACATATAGCTGAAAAATAGGCGGATCCAGGGGGGGGCAGGGGTGCGCACACACACACACCCACACACCCCTTGTGCTGAAAGTTGGTTAAATGACCATTGAAACTCGGGTGAAAATGAAGTGTGCACCCCTCCTTTTCTCAATAGTGTGCACCCCCTTTCTCAAAAAGCTGTATGCCCCCTGTGAAATATTGCTGAGTGCGGCGTAAAACCAAAACTAAAACAGAAACAAATACATTACAGTATATACAAGAATTTACTCAGTTAAGAAATAAAAGTAATACATACAAATCTGTATTTACAGAAGGATCCCAGTATGATGGCGCAGTTGCTTGTGCCGCTGTCATTGGATCCAGAACAGTATCTTTTCGATTAACAGATAACAACTCCATTTTCACAGCAGAAGCAACTGCTATATTAACAGCTCTTAAATATATCAATAAACACCCCGCATATACACAATGTATAATTATTTAGACTCACATTCGTGTCTTCAGGCTATCAAAAAAACTTGTAAGCATTTACTTTTAATCGAATGATATAATAAAATGAAATAATTGAATTACATAATGGTCTTGCTTCTGGCCAATGCGACATCATCTTATGTTCTTTACCCAGCCGTGGTGAACTGAACAAAGGTCGATTCTGCTACTAAGGCAGCACTCACCAAATCCGTGTCACCACTTCTGATCCCGTATGCTGATTATAAACCTACGATTAGAGTTCATATCTATGGTCTAATGCAAACGAAGGGCACCAAAGTAGGTGTCAATAAACCACATGACATTAAACCAGCTATCGGTCATACCTACTTGGGCTATCAGTCCAAATTTGAGGGGGTCATATCAGGACGATGTGCTGTTGGTCATTCACGATATAATTTGTTCTTTACTAGAAAGTGTAATCTCAAATATAACATGTTACATTTTTCCACTTTCTAAATGGCATTGTGAAATGATATACTAATGAATATTTATTGAAAAGTGAGGATCCTCTGTTCTGCATCCTTTGTGATTGAAGTACGGTCCAGCATATCCTGCTTGGCTGTATTGATTTTTCCATCACGAGGGATCAATATTTCAGTGTCAAAACAATTAAGGATCTTATTAAATGTAAATAATAACTTATTAATTGTTTTGTTTTTAAGGAAATGGAAAGTGTCTGATATGAAGGATCTTTTAACAATATTAGCCTTCATTTGATTCTTGGGTAATTGAAGAATAATTCACAATAAATACAGGTAAATAATCAAAACTTGTCAGCGAAGGACAGTAAAAACAACTAGAATATCACAAATATGAATATAAAACTAGTATGTAAATCTAAAATATTTCAATTACAGTAGACAATACAATATAAAAACAGGCTAAATATTGCCAAGAACTGATGATAGATCACCATACTAGGGACCATAGGGACTTACAGTACATTTGCTTCTTGCATGAACCCTAGATGGATTTATACCATCCCTTCAGTTGTTAGCAATTTTAGATAATCTAGCCATAAATTAAAATAACATATATACTACGATTAAATATAATAATGGGAGAGGAGAGTATATACTGACTGTTGCGACTGTTCAGTTGACTTATCACTGTGGTATTTATACACACTTCATAGAAAACAAACCAAGCAAGCACAACAAAGACGTGAATAGTATGAACTAGTGGTCATTTCGCTGCCCTCACAGGACATAAACCTGTGCTAAAATATCCGGTATGCAAGGCTTCATGAATAAGACACTCATACATATTTGCAACTTATTTGGCTTAGAAATGTCACATTCACAATAACCATTCACAAACATTTTCAAGCAAGTTAAGGTACATATACTTCTACAAACAATCATAAAGATATCTGCATTATTCCCCAACTACATCAGTATATTTCTGTTTGAAAGAGAACATCGGAGAAGAAAATGAAACTTTTGGATACATTTATATTAAATGCACTTTTTGAAATGTCCTACTTGGTATTTCACAAAAAGCCAGATTGGGTACAAGAGATAATGCGGATGATACGTTTACCGCAGTTAAAACAGTCAGAAGGCCTTCAAATAGGCATTGCATGACAACATCTTGTTATCCTCTGTTCCAGGTGTCCAGAACATCTCCGAAGGTACTCCAGCTCTCTTCTTGTCCGGATTCTCAGACCAAACACCATTGGGATTACAGGGAGTGCAGCTCTTGAACCAGAACCCAGACTTGTGTTCTTGAGCACAGTTTAGAGGACTGTCATCATTATTTCTATTGAAGGTAGAGAAGGGCTGTCCCTTTAATTCAACCAAACAATCACCTACACGTTTTTCAGGAAGTGTGTGTCCCCAAGATCTTTTGTATGTCATTGTGTAGAGGCCGTCTTGGGATAGGGTGAAATAGGTGTATGATCGCTGTCGTGCAGAACTCATATCCTTAATTATAAAGGTGGGCACCTGAGGACGTTTATTTGTCAGGTAAACAAGTTTGTTGTTTCCAAGCAAGAAGTCCTTGGTGACATCCCCAAAGCCATCCTTGTACTCTTGCCACGACCGATTGAAATTGGTAGATCCATCTTTGTGCATTTGAATATATGTAAGGCCACGGTATTGCATACTGCACTTGACTTGGAATGGACTAGGCGCCATATTTGGTTAAATTAAGTATATACCGTTCCCCTTCGTATAATGGCCTGTTTGATATCCTTCAGTACAATCTGAAAGAATGTCATGCATTTTTATTAAATGCTGTGCAAGAATAACCTTCCCAGATGAATAACGCCAGAAGACACGTTACCCTCCTACCTTTATGAATTACTCAAAAACTATCAAAGATATAAAGGTATTAGTTTACATGAAAGCTTAACAACACAGCTTTATGCAAATCGCGAAAAACAATTCTCAAATGCATTCATATTTAGGTGAAATGCATCTTTTTCAGAAGAGTTAAATTGTCCTATATTCGTCCATGCCGATAAAAAACCAATAACAGTAATTTTGATGTCCAAAAGAAAGGATGAAATATAATTCTGCTTTGGGACAATGATAAACCACTTAAAGTCACCATTTTACAACAATTAACAAAAAACAACTGTAGTAGAGTGTGTATAATTGTAAAATAATCATTCCTATGATTTCAGTCTTTTAAAACATTTTGTGCTGGTTTGCATTGGTGAAAACAAGTAAAACGTGTCTTTGATATTGTGAAAAAGTGTTCAGGAAAATCTAACATTATCGTTGTTAACAGTTTTGCTTGCAAAGTAACATTTTTCCATTTTCTGTTTACACATAGCAATATCAATCGCCAAAACGCAGGAATATTCAAGCAGTATTTGCATCCATTTCACATTTAGAAGGATTCAATAGGGTATGAACAGAACCGCGAATACATGATATGATACACAAGGAC